ACCTGCCCAACTTAATCCGAGCAGCTGAGTCTTTAGCCATCTTCAATTGCTTTCTAATCTTTTTGTATTCTATCTGTTTTATTTTTATTTATTATATTATTTAAAAAACCCTTGCTACGTGTACTGCGTTAAGCTAACTGAGACTTGTTATAGCACTTGTATATCATTGCTCTTTTGTTGATTTTGATTGCTTCCATTGTCCTCATTTGCAAGTCGCTTTGGATAAAAGCGTCTGCTAAATGTAAATGTAATTAACTGCTCACAGGTGAGCATGCTGGGCATTTTATGAAGTAACATCATGTAGAACATGTCTCTAGTGCTTAGCAGCTATACACACAGAATGCATTTTTACATTGAAAAACACAAGACTCAGGCAGTGGAATGGGGACAAATATACCCCAACTATACTTGTATCTAAGTCTTGGCAATATTTTTGCAGAATATTGTGTATGTACACAATAAACTACATTATCAAATTGTATAATGTAAAAGCATAGTAGTTAAACACACTTAATATAAAGTGAGACCAGAGAGGTATATTTTTAAAGTGAACTATCTGTCAAGATATGATAGTAAATGCTATTCACAGGAATACATTCAAGATAAATGTATATACTGTTTTTATTTAGTTGGGGTTTGAGGTCAGGTAGTTTTAGCGTTAGTGAGAAATAATGTGATAATTTTGACAAAATAAAGAGTTAATAAGACACAAGAACATGTTCCAAAGAACAGTTTCAAAACTAATGGCTAGCAAAGTTGTGAGACATGTTTTCATATGATATGATGTGAATTAAATAAAGTGCAGTGGTTTATGATGTTCCTCTCTGTCCCTGGTAAATCCTGTTTCAGGAGTCAGTCTGAGCAGTGATTTCATCACAGGATTCTGTGGAGAGACTGAAGAAGACCATCAGCAGACCCTTTCCCTTGTCAGGGAGGTGGGCTATAATGTGGGCTTTCTCTTCGCCTACAGCATGAGGAAGGTCTGATCTAATTGTTGCTCTTCCTGCCAGATTCATCATCAATGTTTTAAGCAGAGTTCCTATGGTACATCATTCTAATTAATGGAAATTAGTACAAGTGGTGGAAATGTCTAAAGTGAATATAGTTGAAGTTTTACTCTGCTCTAAATCATTTCATCAGCAAGATATTGTTTTTTTCTGTGAGTGAATATGTAGAGTAAAACCAGAATGATAATGTCAGTCACTTATGGTTTTATTAGAGATGAATTTTCAATAACTTAACTTTAAACATAACTTAATTATATCTGCTGGTACAAAAGAATGATACCTAGCCCATTAGCCAAAGCAAACTGTATAGAATAATTAAAAACTGGGATAGGAAGCGGTATTCTGACATACGGGGGCATTTATTAAAATTAGTATGGCTTTTTTCCGTTCTTATCTCTCTCTAGAAAACTCATGCATATCATCGGCTGCAAGATGACGTTCCTGCACCAGTGAAACAGTGCCGTCTGGAGGAACTCATCTCTGTTTTTAGAGAAGAGGCAGCTAAAGTCAACATGGCTCTTATTGGCAGCACACAGCTGGTGTTGGTAGAAGGAGTGAGTATAACAGAAAACTTTAGGATGTTTTGCCTCATTTTCTCCACCGCTTATAGGGTTACTTGGGCATAGAAAAAAATGCTGAACAGATATTACAGAATTCTTTCTTGATATTTTACAGGAAAGTAAAAGATCTTCTGAGGAACTTTGTGGTCGAAATGATGGAAATGTGAAAGTGGTTTTTCCTAAAACAGATTTGCCTGTTCAGCCAGAGAAACCTCAGATGGTCCCCGTTACACTTGGAGATTATGTGTTAGTCAAGGTAAACTATGGGCAACAGTTTATCTAATATTGAAATAATCATTTCATTGTCAATGTCAAGTCAGTTTTATTTGTATGGCATTTTTCACAGTTCAAAAGAATGTTGTGGTCAATAGTGTCAAATGCAGTGCTAAGATCCAGGAGCACTAATAGAGAGCAGGTCATTTGTAACTCTGATGAGAGCAGTCTCTTTGATATAGTCTAAATCCTGTCTGGAAATCCTCGCAGATACTTTAGAGTCGTAGTTTACTATCATGCCCTAGCAGCAGTTGGATGTTTGGATCTGCTCTTCAGTCTGTATTTCATGCAATGCAATCCAGGAGGGCTTGTGATGGTAGAAACTATAACCAAATATGAAAGGGTTTGTGAATACACACTAGAATTAATAATTCACAAGTTGGAGCTAACTTTGCAGGATGTTGGCCCTCCAGGACCAGGATTTGGACACCCCTGGTCTATGGGGTCCATACATAACCGTTTATGTTCTTTGAATTCCATCCTAAGATCAAGATGGTGCAAGCAGTGGTCAGTGTGTGCCTTGCAGTATAGCTGGTTCTTGTTTTTCACTTTTTCATCATAAGACCGGTGTAGACAGCGGTAGGCCATCTTTTCAGTGGATTTAATTTGTGACAGTAGTGACAATAAAATTGAGCCAATATGCTTGTATTTGTTGGGCTTAATAGTCAGTCCAGCTGCTGAATTTTGAACTAACTGTAGCTAATTTAATGACCCTCCATGTAAACTCATTGGTTCCTGATTATGTCCCCAGAAAAGCAGAGGACCTAATACTGAGCCCTGTGGCACTCCATACATGTTTGATAAGATATCTCTTCATTTATATAAAGTGTAAATACACGAAATACACAAATCAAGTACTTGAGTAAAATACAGATACCCTAATAAAATATTACTCTTAATAGTAAAAGTATTAAGTACTCTTTTTCAATTTTACTTGGGTAAAAATACAAAATTACTTGATTTTGTACGTATTTAAGTATTAAAAGTACTGATTGATGAATGTTTGGCAGCGGGGTAGATGCATGAGCATTATTCTGTGTTATTTTAATGTTTTGTTTAGTTTTTAAATAAAACCTACCCTGTTCAGATGGTAATACACATATGGACATGTCTACGTTCAAGCATTTCATACAGTGGGCTTAAACAGCAGCTTTAGTTTGCAAACAATGGACACTTCATGACCTAAATATGATTTTCATTTACAATAATAAATGCTAAAATTCGGCATTCGTAACTTTTCTCAAGCTCCGAGGATCTCCCGTTCTTGGCTTAGTTTGAGTTTCAGTGAATTGTTAACTGAAGACTCGCTGAAACCGGATTATTTGAATCAGTGAGTTGTTGACTCGAGCACAGCTGCAATCCGCTCAATCCAATTCACGAATAAATCATTCAATGTGATTCGCGAACGATTTAACAGGCTTATTGAAAAGAATCTGCTCGTTCAGGAATTGGACAGCTCTATCACGTCTCTCGGTAGTGCGTGATTATTTCTCCAGTTCAAAATAACAAGTAAGAACATGTTTTTCTGAAATGTAGTGGAGTAAAAAGTACAACATTATGATTTGGAATGTAGTGTAGTAAAAGTTTCCCAAAATTAAAATACTCCGGTAAAGTACAGATACTTGAAAAATTTACTTAAGTACAGTAATAAAATAAAAAATTCTTAAATTGTCCACCACTGACAGTGGTAGCCATTTGATAGATATGACATAGTAGTAAAATCTGATAGCACTAGAAGACCAGATGTAGCCATGTCAGATGAGAAATGCCATCAGGTTAGATGGCAGATTTGAGATTGGTCCCTAATTAACAGGTTCTCTTAGTTCATGCTGTGTTGTGATAACGGCAAGGTCTCTAACTGTTAAATGTTCCAAAAATAAATCATTCAATGTGATTCGCGAACGATTTAACAGGCTTATTGAAAAGAATCTGCTCGTTCAGGAATTGGACAGCTCTATCACGTCTCTCGGTAGTGCGTGATTATTTCTCCAGTTCAAAATAACAAGTAAGAACATGTTTTTCTGAAATGTAGTGGAGTAAAAAGTACAATATTATGATTTGGAATGTAGTGTAGTAAAAGTTTCCCAAAATTAAAATACTCCGGTAAAGTACAGATACTTGAAAAATTTACTTAAGTACAGTAATAAAATAAAAAATTCTTAAATTGTCCACCACTGACAGTGGTAGCCATTTGATAGATATGACATAGTAGTAAAATCTGATAGCACTAGAAGACCAGATGTAGCCATGTCAGATGAGAAATGCCATCAGGTTAGATGGCAGATTTGAGATTGGTCCCTAATTAACAGGTTCTCTTAGTTCATGCTGTGTTGTGATAACGGCAAGGTCTCTAACTGTTAAATGTTCCAACAGATCACATCAGCTAACTCCCAGTGTCTGAGAGGACATGCTTTGATCCACTCCTCCTTGAATGACAGAAAGACATCTGAGCATCTTCTGAGCAAACAGACAATATAATGCTGACCCTAAGAGAACCTCATACTGCTTCAACTGTATGTTTTAAAAGTTGATAGTAAAGAAATGAACACAGTTATTGTGTTTTAATAAGTAAATGGAAAGAAATATAGAAAATGTCATGTCTTGTGCAGAAAAATAAAGTTTCTTTAAATTACCTTGGTGTATAGGGCACTCATACTGACAACAAACCAAAGTGCAGTATTTATCATATTGTTATACATGTGAGTTTACAGTACTTTCAAAACCTGTTGTTGGGTATTTACAAGCTGCAAACCTCTAAAGCTAAGAGTGGAAAAGTTAATGCGTAAATAACATATCCATATGTTAATTTTTGCCTTTTTCAGATTATTTTATCCAAAGCAATTTAGTGCATGCAAGGTATACATTTTGCCAGCTTAGTATGGAAATCAAACCAAAGGCATTGGGGTTCCCTGCTAAGGGAACCAGGGTTACATACATAATGAGAAGTTCCCTTTCATAGATTCACTTTACGCTACTCTATACGCTACTCTATACCGCAGCACCATGCTACCATTGCCTGCCATTTCAGCACATTGACTACTGTTAAAAACAGATAAAATATAAGAACCAGAAGTCAAATCTTTGTTTATTTATTCAAAACATATGTAATGCGAAGTTAAATTTCAAATAGAAATGTTAAGGATGTAAATGTTTAAAAACATTTTCTCCAGTAGTAAATCAGCGTTTACTGTATGTATTTATTTTTCGCCAATTCAAGTGAGATTTATCCTGTAAATTGAACATCCGTTCCAATCAGCAAGTAGTCCTGTGTGATACAAAAAAAAGAAAAATATTACTATATTATATAAAATAATAATAATAAAAAGCCTCTAACACTAGCTTGCTCTATTCTTTTTCTATTCTATCTGTTTTCTTTTTATTTATTATATAATTTAAAAAAACTACATGTTGCTATGTGTACTGCATTAAGCTAACAGACTTGTTATAGCACTTGCATATCATTGCTCTTTTGTTGATTTTGATTGCTTCCGTTGTCCTCATTTGTAAGTCGCTTTGGATAAAAGCGTCTGCTAAATGACTAAATGTAATAAGTATTATTTTTATTATTATTAAATCAACAGTCTCTATATTAAAAAATAATATTACATTCATATATACAAGCTTACCTTCAGAACCTGGAGCTGACTGTTTACAAGCTGCATCTTTCCAATGGCAGGAAGTGGATAACCTTCCTGTAAACAAGCTGAAAAGAAAAAGCCCATGTGTACATTACAATAAAAATGAATTTTTTCACTTAAAATGCCAATAAAAAGAAAACAACAATAATAATAAACTCTTACCATTAACCTTGGGGATGTCACCTGTCAATTTAAATTTTATGTTGAGGTTCTGAATTATTTGCTTTCAGATCAGTTTTAAACACTTTTCCTAATTTCTTTTTACCTGGAATGGTCCCACATAGCTTTTTGCTAAGCTCATATCAATTCTGTTCAAGAGAATTAAAGTTTGTACCAATCCTTTAATAATTTTAGAACATAAACACACATCCAGCTGTGTACAGTATGAATAGACTGCATTTATGGGTCCAAAACTCACTTGTTGAGGGTCACGTTTCCTGCCATTTTGAGCTCAGTCACATATATGTGAGTACTGACACTGCCCTCCTGTTGGTTGAAGGGAAAATCATTATTAAACTTTTCTTACCTCATTTAAATTCATTTTTGGTTATTCCTCCTGTTGTGACTCACCAGATTGAGGACAAATAGTGGAGATAGTGTGCTGTTGGGCTGAATTGTTTAAGCTGTCACTACTGCTGGCCTGAACAGTCATGATGTTCGGTTCAAATGTAATGAGGGTCTCCTTCACTGTCTCAACCAAAAGCTTCATCATCAGACCAGGATACATTTTCTCAATCTGACTGCTGACTGTTGTGGGGACAATCCTAAAATCTCAACAATTTGAGTAGTAAGATCGATACTAAAGTGTTCGGCAATTTGTAATAATTGCTCCTTTGTACACCTCTCAAGTAAAGAGGACAATCTTCGAGCACCGAAGACATCTTCGTTCTAACACACACCTATGCGACAACACAAACAAACAACTCACGCAAGCGAGATGGTAGTGTTTTCTAATTTCTAGAACTACATTTCCCATAAGCCTAATCATTCACAAAAACTTCAAAGACTTACCACATGTCAAAACACATTGTAGGTTCGCGGGAAAGAAAAGAATGCACTAAAAAAAACACAAACGTATCTATTCACAAATTTTACTGAATAGGCTCACCTCCGTGAACTAAGACACTCCAGCTCCTATCTGAAAGAAAACACTAATTCCTATCTAGTCTTCGAGGATGTACCGGGCTCGGGGCAACATGAAACGCTAAACTCAGTGACGATCAGTCAAACTGAAAGTCCGAAAGCGTACCCCCGAGAGAGATTTAAATCTCCACCCAGAATAACCCTCAAAAACAAAAAAAGACAAACTACTACAAAGGATCCCGGACGAGCCCCCAATTTATGTCACGGCCAGCTCGTTCCCGACCGTCACATAAAGAGGGCCACACATATAAACGAGTTGTTTGACTTGCAAGATTATTTATTCAAAAGAAAATGATCTGTTACAGAATATAACACAATGTGTAGGGATTTAAATAAACAACAAAAAATAACCAACCAGAAGAAAACAAGTTGGAGCAAATGACTCCTTGGAAAAACTGGGTTCTCCCAGAGGAAGTACTGTTGGACAGTTCAGCCAAACATTTATACTCTCCACCCATGAGTTATCCAATTAACAGTGACGTCACATTCTGATGTTATCCTGCCACCATCAGGTAAAGAAGGAAAAGACGGGGGCATAACAATCCACCTTTTCTGTGCCACTTATATCCGGCACTTTAATAGTTCTGAGTTTCTGCTGGATTGAGGCAATTCCAATCTGTCGACCTGCAATCAAAGCAACATTTAGAAACAGTACCTCAGAATGAGTGCCCTGAGATCTGTCTCGCAAAGCATGTTTAAGTAAAAGACACAAAGTATGTTTATGTTTAAGTTTTTGTTCCATTTTGAGTTACAAGAAGTATTATTTTGTTTACTTACCATATCCAAGCTCCTTCTGAGTTAGTCTGACTTTAACTCCTGCATTGGTACCTGTAGCTACAGATACCAGGTTCACAAGAACCAGAACACACCAGAGGAACATCACTGTGAATCTGATACACCCTGAGCGACATAGATTCCTAATGAATGAGTAAATATAAAGTAAAGAGTTATCTAGAATAATCAAATGTCAGAAGAATAATAGTAATAATTAGATACAGAAAACCAATTTGTCTTTCAACCTAAATTCAAGGTCAAAATGGAGTCAGATTAGATAATAAAATGTCAAATTACAATTTAACTTAAATTAAATAACTTTGCCCGCCGAAATGACCGAACACACGGGAAACCTTCAGCCATCACTGGATACCTTCCTTGGGCCAAGTGCACGGCCCTTACATGTACATGCATAATCTTTATTAACCTATAAGTGTTGTTACAACTCTGTGGTTGTTCTGTTTTTTTCTTTATTCTTCTATTGGGGCTGTCTGTGTCTGTAGTCTGTCTAGGAAACGTCACCAATTTTGTATAGTGCTGAGTTTTTGTGTAAGAGTTTGTATTACGAGAGATCTGAGACTGTGAGTACTGTTTGTTTTGTTTTGTTGAAAAGAGGTGTATTGAAAGTGGTGTATCTTATTTTATTTTATTTTAGTATGGTAGAGGTTTAGAAACTAAGAACATTTTGTTTGTTATTTTGGCCTTGTCAGCTCCCAAATTAAATACATTAATCATTCCCAATAAATACTCCCAATAAATGTGTTGTTGCAAATTTCATGCATGAAAGTCCTCTCATGTTGCGCTTCTTCCCTAGACGGGGTGTAACAGTGTCAACATGTTTAACATGCTAGTTGTGAATCCGAAATATAAAAGCTATATCATACAGCCTAAATTAGCTTTTCTGAAGCTAATTACAGTAAGCTCCCTTATATTTACAGTGCATAAGATATTAAGTGACCACATAATAGCCTATCATTAGACAGCAACTTCAGGATCTCTGCTTTTGCTAGAGAATAGGGAAATGGCTGAGACAAGCAATGCCCTGATTTGTTATGTTGCCCTGAAAGAGACCTTTGTCTTGCAGTCAGATGAAGCCACATGACTGTGAACAAGTTGATGTTATGCTTACATTGAATTAAGGCGAGCTAGAATGAAAAGAATGCAGATAAGACTTTGCAGGAATATGTCATGCAGCCCACCCTGTTACAAACTGAGGTCAACGGATATAAACTAATATCTACTAATGAACCATGTTACTTCTCTTATGAAGAGTCATAAACACAAGCAAAGCCATTTTGAATATAAATGACAATCTGTAGAAAACACTTTCACTGTCATTACAGATCAGATCTGGGCAGATCATAAAAAAAGAATACTATATTTCACACATAAACTGAAATTATGTAGGCTGATGTTGTTCAGATAAGTGTGTGTGTGTGTGTTTTTAACGAATGAGACCCAACGTTTGACAGCACTTGTATATATATGAGCGTGAGAGGGAGTGCACTGGACTTTGGAGCTCTGAGACCACCAGACCTGGAACCACGGGCTGACTAAGCTAGAGCAGAGGAGAAATGCAGAGAAGAAAAGAGAAGAGAAGTTGTGTGTTTATGTGTGTGTACCTGGTATTCCCTACGTTATGGGGACCAAATGTCCCCACAAGGATAATAATACCAGTCATTTTTTATGTTGTGGGGACATTTTTTGGTCACCATGAGGAAACAAGCTTATAAATCATACAGAAAGTTATTTGAAAATCTAAAAATGCAGAAGGTTTTTTGTAAGGGGTAGGTTTAGGGTTTAGGGTAAGGGGATAGGAAATACGGTTTGTACAGTATAAAAACCAGTATGAGGGTGGGTGTGTTTGTGTATTTAAGTGCATTGGTGAAATCATTGTGGTTGTGGAATGTTTTGGAATCGTTAAAAACATATAGAAGAGGTGAGTCTTCAGCTGCTTGGTTCATTCCCAGGGCCGGATTTACCTCTTTTCGTGACATAGGCAAAACACATTTATGGGCCCCCCTTCCCTATTAATATAATAGGCCTAATATTACCACCCAAGCAAACAAAAATATTTCTTAATCAGTGGAAACCGTTACACTGTGTTTTCTATCGCAATAAGCGCTTGCGTTCAGTCAATAAAAATCTAATGTAGGTTTTGAGAATTCAAACAAATTGCATTTAATTCCATTAACAGGCGTGGCGACATGGCCACATAACCACTTCGAGAGTGCATTATTTCTCTAATAATTTTAACAGCCTGGAGTTACAATCACACATCAGTTGTTCAGATGATTTGTTTCAAGACATTTGACATGTTTCCGTCCTGAAATCTCATGTGTGTTGAACTAGCTAATTTTTTTACGCACCTCATCCCAAACCTTCCTTGCAAATTCCAAAACGTCATTTTACAGCTAATAAAAGAGGCTTGAGCCATTGATATGCAGGTTAACAGCAGTTATTAATGCAGTCTAACGCAGTTATTAGAGAGAGAGAGAGTGAAAGAGAGACGGAGAGATTAAGCGCGTGTGAATACTTGCGTCTGTGCGTCTCTCAGGAGTATTCAGCAGCAGTGTCTACTAATAGCTTATCTATAAGTTGAACTGCTTCAAGAACCTCGCTACTGAGAAATGTCATGTAGCTTTTCAGCTGCGAAACTCTTTTATTGATAAATTCGCGGGCAGCCGCAGCGCTGATGGTAAGTTTCTTTTCGCGTCTCCGCGTGTGTGCACGAGTGCGTGTCTATGTGTGTGCATGTGTGAGAGAGAACAGGAGAAAGAAAGTGTGATTTCCGTTCCGATTTTCTGGGTTTTGGTTCTTTTACTGTTGTAGATATCCAATAGTATAACAAAAATATTATATATCTCTTCATTGTGTTTGGGCCCCCCCTGGACGAGCAAGCATAGGCACGTGCCTAGAATGCCTATGCGTAAATCCGGCCCTGCTCATTCCTTCAGAGAAGAGCAGAGAGGGGACAGTGACTTTTGTGTCCTGTTGTGAAGGAACAACAAGGCACCATCTGTTCAGTGACTGTAACGGGCAGGAGGGCGTATACAAATACATTTGTAGGGGTGAATTGAGGTAGGGAGGTGCTGTTCTATCAGAAAGACTCAGAGAGAAGGTAAATATTTACATGGTATTTCTTCTGTAAAGTGTTAAGAGATGGTGGTGAGTTACAATAATTCATGTATAGTTGTATAGAAAAGTTATTTGGCGTAGGCCCCGTCCTTTGTCCAAATCCTGGGGATGCAGATTTGGCTGATCCTGCCTGAAGATGAAGGCAAGGGCAGATACCCCCTATGGATGGACAGGGCCAACCTGGTAGTGGTGGGGAGGATGGAGGGGAACATCAGCGTACTGATGAAAATGAAACTGAGAAAATTACATCATTAAAGTAATTACAGTTTATACCCCAGGTGCCAAGCAGTGATTGGCCTGACCTGTTAGTATGAATGAATGACGTAGCTTTGGAGTCTTCCTAACTGAACTTGCGCTGGAAGCTTTCATTTCCAGTGCAGTCCTGAAAGCCAGTGTTAAACCCTTAAATTTGACTGTGACCACAATTGGGA